GATAATTCAAAGGGATGTAGGTGAAAGTTAATTAATTTTTTGCAGTGTTTGAAAAATTGGAAATTCATGCTATAAACTATTTTATAAAGAAAAAGTTTAAAGTGTTTAAGGAAATTACTAAACCTAAATGAACATATTTTTTAAAGAAAACTTAAACATTTTACAGTTCAAATTAGTTAACACATGAGTGTATCTATTAATACATTTCTAGAAATAAAAATAATGTTTACAGATCCTTATCAAAATTTTAAAAGTAACAAAATTACATTTTAAAAGAAATTCTGAAAGTTTGACTTTTTTTTAGATTAATGCTAACTGATTAAGCTGACCTTCCTCCTAATCACCCAAATTAGGAATTAAAATTGTCCTTTTAAAGAAACTTGTATGTGAATATGAACCACTGTTGCCACAGTAATCTTTACAGCCAACTTATGCAACCATATCTGTAGCCAACTCAATTTTTCCTTTATGACTTTTCCATAAGAGAACCAAAGAATTCCTTGGTCACTTATTCATGTCACTTTTTGAACGGTATAGGTTTTATTGGAGTGACTTTATCGTGGAAGTCTTACACATTAATGTATAATTTAAAATGTATTTGTTCTGTCAAAACCATAAACTTAATTCAGTGTTCTGCCATATAAACAGTCTTATTTTCTTCCTATTAAAAATATCTAATAAGAATATTTCAGATCTAAATGATAAGTTTTAAATTTTTGTCAGGGAAAGTTCCTAGAACTAAGGAAGTACAAATTAGTGCCACTTCTCAAATATCTTCCTCTCCTCTTTCACCCGGTATAATATGATTTCTGCCTGCCAGTGTGAAGAGGTACAGCTGTCTCAAAATTTATTATGCTAGAGGTTCACTTAGCCCCTTCAGAGTTACAGAATGAGAAAGTGTGGTATATCTCTTTTTTAAAATTCAGGTAATTCCTATGTAATTGCTCCTTCATAATTCTGGTAGGTTTTGTTTTTTTTTTTTCATGGTGTTATTTCACATACTTGCACCAGAATCACTTGTCTGGATTTGTATAGATATTCCCAGGGCCCCTTATTATTGGACCTCACCAGGGTTACCATTCCCTTTCACTCTGTTGAGAAGATCTAGACTGTGATAATAGCTAGAAATACTACCAGACTTTCTGATACCCCTGCTCATTGAAAAAAAAAAAGAAAAAAAGCAAAAACAATTGGAGAACAATTAATAAGTATATCTCATTAAAGTGTTGTTTAAGACCTGATTTTCCTTCTTACAAATGATGTGCAAAACTAGTGTTTGAGACCCAGTTTTTGAAAGTTTTGTCTTTTGGTATAACATAGTGCCATTGTCATATATGAAGTAGGCAAAAACACTATGATAAAGGGTATGTATTTAATACCATTACTGAATAACAGGATGTATTATTATTGCTAATGAAATGTGGTAGTGACTGGGGTTGGGGAGAAGGGAGCCAGTGTTTACTGAGCACCTTATATAAGTCAGGAACTGTGCCTATAAAGTAAATTCACTTAGGTTATCTAATCAGCTGGAAATTTGCATTTAAAAAAGGAGCTTAAGAGGGGAATTTTTATTGTAATGGGAGATTCTTGAAAATCAGTATTTTAGCAAGAAGTCAGTTACCCATGAGATAAGACCAGTAACCTGTGATTGATGTTCTTAGAGGATAACTGAGTCCTCCTTCCACCCCCAGCATGAAAGCCCTGCCCTGGGGATCCGGATGGGTGGGCCTGTCTCTTTGTCCCTTTCAATCCTGTGATGATGGATTTTTGCCCACTTGGTTGACCAGCATGCTAATAGTTTCACTCAGCTATTTGCTTCAGACTATATACAGTCTTTTCTCATTTCTCCCTTACTCAGCTTTCTCTGTAATCCCTTTCCTAATAACCTCATCACAATGAATGATTAAGCCTTTCTGTTGTCTCTTACAGCTGATTCAGAGCAAGTGATTGATGGTGTGCCCAGTCCAAGGACAGGCATCCTCACACCCTGAGGCTCTTCCTGCCTCCACCCTCCCTTGTTGTTTATACGCTGCTTGTGTTGACTTGTATGTCTTATGAATTTATGGCATCTCTATGTAGGCTTTAAACTCTTTAAGGACAAGGGCTGTGTGTTACTCTTTTCTCTGTCCCCTGTATTCTTAACTCTTTTGCTCAGTACATACTTGATTGAGCTAATGAATGTTGTCTAGGTATTGAATTTTATGCTGAGTTTAAGAACCTGCAAGATTAATACTATGATACAGTTACAGAGTATTGACCTTCAGGGTGAATTCTCAGTTACCATTTTCCATAAAACCCTATATACTCCAGGCTTTTCTCTTGCCCTTTGTTCTTCAACTCATAGGTAGCTTCCTCTTTTACAGACCCTTTGCAAAACCATTTTTTATGCCTAAGCCAGGGGAAGGTTTATGGACCATGTATAAAAAGAAGTAATGTGTTTGAGTGGAATTGTAGATGTAAACAATTTGAGGGCAGAGACTCTAATTCATGCTCTTTCCATCCCCAGTGGCTAGCCAGTGTCTTGTCATCTCGTCAGTCCTCAGACAGGACTGAGATGGAGGTGGGTGGGTGGGTGGAAGATATGCAAGAGGAAGAGATGTTTGTGGTCAGGGATTGTCAGTGATTTATATTGTCTGCAGCACAGATCCACATCATAAGTTAGTTTAAGCTGGCCTTTATTAAAGCCATCAGTACTTTTAAAAATTCATGAGGATGACAGTATAATCATTTTCATTACACATGTTGATTTTCATCAAAGCAAATTGCTAAACGATTCTTAACAAAGGATGTACTATCTTACTGGGAAAGAACTTATGCAGATCAGTGACATTGGAGGACAGGAAGGGGACACCTAAGAAACGGAAGGTATCAGAGTGCAAGTGACATCCATCTAGCATCCTTCACAGCTGAGGCTTTCTTCTTAAAAACCACCAAAATACAAAAAAAAAAATTGATTTCTCATGACAAATACATTAGTTTGATAGTCTTTTGTCACTTTATAGAGTGGTGACCTTTGTCCAAATGACTGTTCACCTGACAGACCCAGCTCATGTGCCTTTTGCTGGGACAAAATAATGATGCGTGTGCCTGCTACTTTCATCTTCATCTCACCCTGTCATTTGTCACTTTCCACCTCCAGACAGCAGGCAAGGCTATTTGTCTGCTTCAGCTCAGTATGTAAATCCCCGCTATGCATGTGAATGCACTGGGATAAAGTATCTCTTATATTACACTGATATCTCCAAATTTATCCTGCTGTGTGATGGTAAATTCAAGTTTGGGTCTGGCCTTGTATCCTATTGTAATTATTTCTGTAAGAAAAGTAAAACTGTATTTTACTGTTTTTCTATGCTTACCTTCCTTCTACGATTAACTGTGTATCCATATGCAGATGTTAAGATTTTGTTAAAAAATGGATTATTCATAAAATTTGAATTAAGATAACTTTAGAGTAATCCTAAACCATTGACTATGAACATTGCATTATATTATATAAGTACATTTTTCATTTATATGATTTAAAGGGGAGTGGTGAAAAATGTTAGTTGGATTACATATACTTTTCTTACACTAAGGATAAAGGAACCTTTTTTTAAAAAAATGGGTTAGATAAAAAAGCTATTAGTTAATTTTACACACAGAGTGAACATTTCAAAAGGCAATTTTGTGGGATTGAAAGAATTGTATTAATTTAATAAAATATCCAGCAGTAATAACATGTAATCATTGAAGAATGCATGGAAAACACATTTTATCAAATGATGTAACTTTTGACAATATATAATGAATAGCAATAAATATATTTTATTTAATTTTATTGTCAGTAGAGGGGAAAGAAATGGCAAAGTTGGGAGAAAGGTAGATACGATAGTGAAGACTGAAACCTCCAAGTTAAGAACGTAAAGTTTGTGATGGATTAATAGCAACATCATAGCTCCCAGCACATTCGCTTTTGAGATTTCATGTGCTCATTACAAAACCCTGGGATGTTGTCAGTGCCTTAGTTACGTTTTGTAGATGGAGGAACTGAGGCTGAGAAAGCTAGTATGTCCTCAGCTGGCTAATAGCAGAGGTAGGTTTTGAACCCAGGTCATACAAACTCTGCATCCAGTGCTCTTTCTTGTACATGACCTTGCATCTTCAAGTAACTAAGAAGTTACACATTGTGTCAATTTCTGGTTACAGCACAATACTTCAGTCATATAGGAACGTACATATATTTGTTTTCATATTCTTGACATACTGTAAACGGATTATACTTCAATAAAAATATTAAAAAAAAAAAGAAGTTACGCATCAGTTTGCCCTGCTTTGCTCTCCTTCTCCCATTCTTGATCTTGGTTTGCTTATCCCACAACTGATTGCTTTGCTCTGTTAGGTTTGCCTGCATTTGCCTATACATTAAAGCACAGATTTAATTTTTAACATACTTACCAAAGTAAGCAGTGAGCAGAATCTAGTTACTGGCCTGGGTATTGACTTGCATTTTATAATGTGTGCCTGATAACCTACTTTGAAATAGGTGCTGCTCTTCGCACTACTGTTTACAATAACCCTGGGCATTGGTGGTTTGCTCTCAGTTTATGGAAACTAAGGCTGAGGCCCACAGAGATTGTGTTCTCTGTCCTTGATCACTGTAGCCCTAAGTGGAAATGCTAGAGTTTGAACTCTGGTTTTTCTGTCTTAAGCCCTTTGGTCTTTCAATTACAAATAACTCTCCACCAAGGTCAACTAACTTTTTGGATACTGGAAAAAAAATATAGAAGAGGGTTAAAAGATACAAAATTTACTACCTCTGTATCCTTATCCCACAAATGAACTTTCTAATAGATAGATTCATAGTCTATCTCTAAAGTCCTGAGATTGTCATTCTTCTAAAAGGAAAGACAGAGAAGTTACTGAAAGTGTTTTTTCACTCATTATTTAGGTAAGGGGAAGGCTATTAGAACTTTCTCAATCTATGTGTTAATTAAAATCTGTTATCTGTTCTTTATTTACAGTATAAAGATGCATTTATGAAAGCAAATCCTGGCTACAAATGGTGTCCTACCACAAACAAGCCTGTCAAGTCCCCAACACCCACTGTCAATCCACGAAAGAAACTGTGGGCCTTCCCATCTGACTCTTCAAGAGACTTGCCAAGCCCCAAGAAAGCAAAGACTGAAGAAATGCCTCAGCTTAACTTTGGAATAGCTGGTGAGTTTAGACACTATTTTTACCTGTTCTTAAAAACAGGGCAATTCATTTAGGCACTATTTTTAACATAATACAGAGAGAGAGAGAGAAGCAAAATTTATGACCAGTGGGAAGCAATGGCAAATATGTAGCATAGCTTAAAGCTTTGGAGCATGGTGTGTGTAGACTGTGCGTATAAAATTAAAGAAAGGAGGTAGAGACCAAGTGGTAGAGTCGTCCTAAACAGATGTAGATTCCTGACATTGATATTACTGAGAAGCAGACAGCAAGGTGGAGGTTGTCAGGAGCGCAGGGAATTTTATTTATAATGTAACAATATAGCTTACACATGCATGCACACTATTAAGCTATCCCAGTAAGCACCTCAGTTATCATGGATACCTGAAAAGCCACAATTAACATGGATCATCTGAGTTTCTGAAACAGCAAGGGCAAGAATATGAACAATTCTATCACAAATCTGGGATGGGTCTGACAGCTGTTTCTTAGCGGGGATTCCCATCCTGCCCTCAATCCCGCCCCCATTCCTGTTACGGGCCAGGCAGATTTAACATTCCAGACGGTCCCATGTGTTATGAAACCTTAATATTCTTTGGGTGGTAAAGAATGCTAGAGCATTTATCACCATGAAATAAAGTATTTGTATCCACCCTACAAATGACTCTGTCTTCCTTCTATTGTAATACTGTAATCAAGAGAGGAATTTTCCAGAATGAAATAGGGAGATTAGACGGATGGAAGCATTGAAGTTGGTGTTGAGCTGTAGGGTTCCTATTTTATTATTACAAGCAAATTTTCTTCAAGAAAGCTCTGAAGAGTTTGCAAAATGGAAAGCTTGGGAATGGAGGTTGAGCAGTATTGTGATGACATTTTATTTTTTAATAGCCAGTAGGCCTAATGAACTTTAATAGTTCAGTGTGTGATTCATGGCATAACAAAGTATGTGACGGTGTCACATATAAATCTAAGAAATGTAGTCTGATGCAACAGTAGCATTCTAGGGGAATAAAGTCTTCAGGTGATTGTTACGTAGATGTCAGTAGTATAATTCTAGGTGAGCTTTTGCATATCCCAGAAGAATCAGAACAGAGATCTGTCCTTGTTTTAGATGTCATTTTGTACAATTTTAGCTTCAGCGCGCTTGCTAGTAGTCTTGGTGAGCTCCCTGGACTCCCCAGATTGTATCAGTAAGTGTTTTATAAAATATTTTGTTATCAGCACCAAGTAAGAGCATAGACTGGCTTTTAAGTGAATTCCTTCTTTTATCATTTGTCTTCCATTGCTTTCTCTCCCATTTCTAAATCTAGATCAGTCTATATAGGTTTTTTGTATACAGTGGCTCTTCACAAACCAAAAATAGTTGTAGATTTAGTACAGAAGACTAAGAAAGATGTCTGTCTGTAGCCCACTTCTGAGAGTTTATTAATCTACCTGTTACACTTACAAATTGAAAGTAGGACCTAGACTTCAACCAAGGTGTTTACAGGTGACCTTTTAAAAACAGCATTCTTTAAGCAAAATACAGGAAAGAAGGAAAACAGCTTTCTCTGACATGTATCTCATTATGTAGGGGCCTGTGATGGATGTTGGGAATCCATAATCAGAACCCTTGTTAGCTAGTATGTAGTGGGTAACACTGATCTGATATTTCTAGTTATGCTACTTTTTAACACAATGAAAACAAATGAGTTTGCCTTTAATTAAAACATAGTGCCTAGCTGTTTAAATCCAGGGGATACTGTAGGGCTTTTAGAGGCCGGTTTAAGCTTTTCCCCAGTATGGAATCTCATTTTGTTTTGTTTTCCCAATAGTCTTCATCATATGACATTTTGCATTTTTGAATAACCCCAAAACAGTCAAGTGTATGATTTCCAAGAAGAGAAAGCTCTGTAGAATTTAATTTAGTGCAGGTCCTCTCAGTGAAGAGAAAGCATGCAACTTATATAAATATATTTTGACGTATCTGGATAACACTATATAGGTATAAATTAATATAAAGGCTGATGATGATTTCTTGTCTGTGTTTTAGTGTCTATGAGGCAGCAAACTTCTTGCAGCCATATTGGCATATAGCTTGAATAAATTATCATGGAAGTGTGTTCTATTTTACTTTATAATTTGAACTAACACATTGTTATCTTTATTCCAAAGTAACCATCCAATCCTCCTGATCTCTAGAATGACAGCTGCAAAAGTATTTAGCTGCCCAAAGAACCAAAGTAACCCTCCGCTAAATTCATTTCCCCTTCCTGATTTTTATTTGCCAGTAGTATCTATTTTAGCCAGTAGTATCTATATTTAGTAGTATCTATTTAGTATCTATCTAGTTTAGTTCATAAACTTAACATTTAATTAAGGGTGGAATCTTAAAACAACAAAGAACCCTGTTTCAGCAAATCAGCCCGTGTTCCCATGTGTCTTCCTGTGTGGCTATGTTCCAGCATGGAGCTGCTTGGCGACCACCTGATCGTTTGGTGACATATTTTCACCTCCACTAAGCTCTTCCTTTCTTCCTCCCTCTCTCCCCTCCCTCAGATTTTGTTTTTCAATTTTCTTTATTTTGACTGTATATAAGATGTGATCAGAGTTGCTTCGTGAGTTCTCAAGACAGATTGTATACAAAGTGTACTTAAGGGCATATCTTTAAACAAAAAATCAAAAAAAGAAAGAGAAAAGAAACACTTGCATGTCTTCAGGCAACAGAATGTCTGATCCTCATTTTTAATTGTAGAGAGATTACAGAAATTAAAAGTGTGTTTACTGAGGACCAGTATGCCCTGGGAGAAGCACTGAAATTAGGTATTTTCATATGATATATCATTTAAGTTCTGAAATTTAATTCATTTAAAACAACCTTAGAGGATATAGGTTTCTTAATTGTGTATACTTTCTCTGTTTAGAGATAATCCTAGGTCATAGATCTGCCAGTTTGTTGTTTTCATTTTGTCTTTCTAGTTCTGTTGATTGTTGAAAGAATGAAAACAAAGGCCTTCAGTGAAGGATTCATTTTGAATCTTTTTAAAGATACTTTGAGGAAGTACCTGACTATATACCCCTAATATTTAGAATGTCAAAAATACGTCATTGTTCAATTTAAATTTGTTTTGGAAAGTTTTAAAGAGAGATGATTTGATTGAACAAAGCCCACTAGATTTTTGGAGGCCCATTTATAAAATGTCTCTCTGTTCTCTAGTTCCTCTGATGGCCTGGTTTTTTTTTGATCAGCCTTGATTTCACATGACAAATAACAATTTGAGAATAACAATCTCAAATTTCTTAGAAGAAAAGTATAAATGCTCTTTTGTTTAAAAAAAAAATCCATCCCAACTTCCCAGGCAGTAAGGAAAGAAGCACCACATTAGGAGATAATTCATGTTGTAAACAGCTGTGGTATTGAAGAAAGCATTTTGCTGGAATGGTGGACAACAGTGGTATTTAAAAGGCTCACCAGAGTGTGAATACCAAGCACGTATACCCCAGGTTATTGCTCCATAAAGAGTTTCAAAAGTTTTCTGTAACAAGCTACATGTGGTTCTGTTGGATTTCTGATTACTAGTCTTTGTGAGTATTCTTTTTTGACTCTGGATTATATCATGGCTGTAAACTGATCATTTACTTGTTTTTGACTTATGTAGATCCTACTCAAATGGGAGGCCTGAGCATGCTGCTTTTAGCTGGAGAACATGCTCTTGGCACACCAGAGGTAAGCAGTCCCTCATCCCTCTCCACTCTGCTCATGGGGGGTTGAGAACACAGACATTTGTGTTCTGTTCACACTGTTAGCTCTGCAGCTTCACTGTTCACAGCTCATGAACAAACTTTTAATTGTTTTCATTAAGATCTGTACGTGCATTATGTTATGCCTTGAGGGTAATAGAGTGGTGTAAATAAGTCCAAGAGGGCACAGACACAAGTCAGGTGCAGATTTGGAGGTTCCATAAGCATTAAGGGCACAGACACCAGTCAGGTGCAGATTTGGAGGTTCCATAAGCATTAAGAGTAGGACATGCAACGTGCAGATAATTAGCATTTGCCATGACTGTGTCACGGGGTCTGGAAGATGGATCCTATGATTCATTTATTCTATTCATAACATTCCCTGCTTTTGCTAATATTCTCATTTAGATGTGCTAGTGAAAAGGCGAGAGTTTAAAAAAACATGAAATTTTTGGTCTCTCCTGTACCTGAATAAATCCAAACTCCTGTTTTTCAAAATCAAGAAATATGGCATTCCAAGATTTATTTTTTTAAATGGAAAGTGAAAAGGAGCAAAGCCCTCATGACCTTAGTTTCTTCTTTATTCCTTTGTATAGTTATTGGGCTCCTTTTGCTAAATATTTTCAGGTACAGTTTTGACGAGCAGGTAGGAGCAGTTAACCATGCATAGTCTGCATTCTGTGGAATTCTTGTGTTTTCCAGACCCATTGAACAGAGGCCAGATGAATTAACCTGCAGGTCACATTATTTTACCACACTCAGGTCCTTGAGATGGAAATTTTTTAACCCTACCCAAAGTTGCTATTTAGGATATAATAGCAACTTTATTGCAGATATATATATATATTTATTTTTGTTTTTTTAAGCTGTAAATATGCCATCCGGATACAGTTGAAGTCTATCCAAAAGTGGCTTTAGAAGATACTATACAAGATATTTACATCACAAAAGGTTTTTATTATTTATGGTTTAGATTGGGGATCCATAGTAGTTGGCCAGATGTTCAATTTATCTTTTTTATTGTGTTTAATTTGGTGTAGCAATAAATGTGTAAATTTGGTAGACTGGTAGTTATTTACATTGTACTAATCTTTAGCTGAAAAAAGTAAACATATCACTTTGTATCTTTGCATATTCATCATTCAGCGCATTTGTACTTCCTCACACAGCAGCATTCTGGGCATCATTTTACTTCGCAGCACATGGCTGCTACCTAGCAGCAGTCAGGCTAACCCTTACTTAGGTGTAGCGTATCCTAAGCACGCTTCCAAAGGTGAATGCGGAGGTAATAATGCCCATTTAACCTCTCAACACAGTCTGACTCAGATTTCCAAGAATGTGCTGTATTGTGAAAGTCAACATCTTTCTTAATAGATTAGGAAATAATGATGCTTTCTTCCCAACATCTATTAGTATTCCTTTTAACTTTCAGAAACAAAGGCAAACAAATTCACATCTGTAGAGCTTACAGGTAGATGAAAATGCTAGTCAAAGAAAAGAACTTTTTTTCTTTGATTAAAGTTTGACTTTTGGGCTCTGAATTTTCAGTGAATAGCTCTTCCCCCCACTTTTAAGGACGGCAGGGTGTAAAACAAGCAGTTTCAACCATGTGTTGGTCAACCTGTTATTTCTAATGAAGGGGAACTGATTTGAAAATTCTCAAGCTAAAGAAACAAAGAAAGTTAAATGACTTAAAAAAGGGAGACATGCAGGATAAGAAAAGGATGCTAAGGTACCTTCCTAAGTATAAGAGTTCCTTTACACTAAGGAAGAAGTTGCCAGCACTTCTGTCTTTAAGAACCACATCTAGGAATACAAGTCTTTCTTCATAATCCCTACTTCTCATCTCAGATATATTTAGGTTGTTAGTGAAATTAAGCTTGAGATACTGAAGCAATAAAGCAGCAAAATTTGAATAAAATAATGCTGTCTCTAAATATAATTAGTTTGAGAGTTTATGCCATAGATATGAGTAGATTTCATTTAGCACCTAATTTCTATGCAAAGTCTTATTCTAGATATGTAGACATGGTCATAGAACTTTAAGGGCTTATGTACATTGGCTGATGATGAACATAAGACACATACAGTGAATACATAGAGTTTTTAAAGAAAATTGTAAGGAGAATGAGATAAGGGGAGAAATACAGAAATTTCATACTTTCAACATTTGGAACAGTTACTGTGAAGTCTGTTTATACTATTAGGTAGGACCAGTCAAATAAAGTGACATTTTTACAGAAATTCTGTCCCAAAGAAGGTCTAATCATAATGGCTTTTTAAAATGCCACGAGACAATTCTTATTCTGAAATATTATATTTAAAGAGAGGAGATTTTCCTTTGTTTATTATCCTGAAGCCTTAATCACATAGAAAAAGTCCTCAAAAGTCTGTTTTTTAATATGGCAAATTTAATATAGGTGATAGTTATATTTTAAAGAACAATTCTAGAAGGTAAAGAGGCTTGCTGTTACTGGAATAATAAAAATCCAGATTAAAAGTTTCTTTGGTCTGTATGATATCCTAGGTCTACCTGATATGTTCTTAGAGTTTTTAAATTTAAAGAGAAATTCTCAGATTCTTGAGAGAGCAGTGAGTAAATAAAAAGAAGCAAGATGTTTGAGTTTTCTCTTTTCCCTCAGTCTTCTGATTAACTCGAACCTGCCACAATAGATTTTTGGTGTTACTAGGTCAGCGCTTTTATAGCTACTGTTCCTAAGCCATGCTTGGTTCTGTAATTTCAATTGTGGTAACTTTGTGTCTCTGATGAATAAAAGGGGTGAAATTGCATTTACAGTTTGGTTCTTTTCTTCTTCACATTAATGATCAGCCCTGTATTTTCTTTATACCCAGAGTACATAGAAATGCATTATGTATTTGGGATAAATTTTTAAAAGCAGTGTTTGTCATTAATGAGTTTATTGATTAAACAAGCAAAATAGATGTATAGGCATACTTTGTTTTATTGCACTTTGCGGATATTGCATTTTTTACAAATTGAAGGTTTGTGGCAACCCTGCATTGAGCAAGACTGTGGTGCCATTTTTCCAACTGTGTTTACTCACTTTGTGTCTATGTCACATTTTGTTAATTCTTGCAATATTTCAAACTTTTCATTATTATTGTATTTGTTATGGCAATCTGTGATGAGTGGTCTCTGGCATTACTGTTGTAATTTTTGCAGGGTGGGGGGTGGTGGAGTGCGGTGCTATGAATCACACCCATACGAGATAGCGAACTTAATTGATAAGTTTGTGTTCTAACTGCTCCACCAACCAGCAGTTCCCCCATCCCTCCTCCTCTCCTTGGCCTCCCTATCTCCTGAGACACAACAGCATTGAAATTAGGTCAGTTAGTAACCCTACACTGGTATCTAAGTGTTCAAGTAAAAAGAAGAGTCACATGTCTCTCACTTTAAATCAAAAACTAGGAATGATTAAGCTTAGTGAGGAAGGCATGTTGAAAGCAGATATAGGCTGAAAGCTAGTCTTCTTGTGCCAGATAGTCAAGTTGTGAATGCAAAGGAAGAATTCTTGGAGGAAATTAAAAGTGCTATTGCAGTGAACACATGAATGATGAGAAAGTGAAAGTCGTATTGCTGATACAGAGAAATTTTTAGTTGTCTGGATAGAAGATCAAACCAGATATAACGTTTCCTTAAGCCAAAGCCTAATCCAGAGCAAGTTTTTGGTTTTGTTTTTTTCTGGAATGTCTAGTAATTTTTGTTTAATTTTGCAAGCCTGAGGTTAAAAACATAGGCAATAAATTTTACTAGTCAATAAAAAGCAATTCGAATCCACTGGTAGTACACTAAACAGAGTTGGAAAGCATTTTATTGAAAGCAGAACATTTAGGGAAAGTAGACATTTATACAAAACTATAAAATGCCTGTAATAAGAACAAATGCATTTCAAGGACAGCACAAACTTAATTTATAAAACCAGTTAAATGCTTAAAATGTAAGTGGAAATTGAAATATGCAAAAACTGCCTTAATTCTATTAAGGATAAGAGAGGTGAGGAAGCTGCAGAAGAAAAGTTTGAAACCAGCAGAGGTTGTTTCACAACATTTAAGGAAGGAAGCTGTCTCCATAACATTGAAGTGCACAGTGAAGCAGCAAGTGTTGATGTAGAAGCCGCAGCAAGTTATCCAGAAGATCCAGCCGAGATCATCCATGAAGGTGGCAACACTAAACAACGGATCTTCAGTGAAGATGAAACAGGCTTATATTGGAAGAAGAGGTCATCTAGGACTTTCATAGCTAAATAGAAGTCAGTGCCTGACTTCCAGGCTTCAAAGGACAGGATGACTCTCTTGTTAGGTGTTGGGGGCTGATGCAGCTGATGACTTAAGTTGAAACCAATGCTCATTTACCACTCTGAAAATCCGAGGGCTGGCCCGCAAGTAAGAGTAATGCAAAATCAACTCTGCCTGTGCTGTATAAGTGGACCAACAAAGCCTGGAGGACAGCCCATCTGTTTACAGCATAGTTTACTGAATATTTTAAACCCATTGTTGAGACTTACTGCTGAAAAGAAGATTCGTTTTAAAATATTACTGCTCAAATATTTTAGAGAAAATGTTTTCATGCTTGCTAACACAGCATCCATTCTGCAGCCCATGGATCAAGGAGTCATTTAGACTTTCAAGTCTTAGTATTCAAGAAATATATTTTGTAAAGCTGTAGCTGCCATATATCGTGATTCCTCAAATGCATCTGGGCAAAGTCAGTAGAAAACCTTCTGGAAAGGATTCACCTCCTAGATGCCATTGAGAATGTGCCATTGATCTCATGGGAAGACAGCAAAACATCAGCATTAATGAGATAGTAAGAAGTTGATTCCAACCCTTATGAATGTCAGTGAAAACTTCCACGGAGGAAGTAACTACAGATGTGGTAAAAATAGTAAGAGAACTTGAGTTAGAAGTGGAGCCAGAAGATGGGACCGAATTTCTTCAATCCTGTGATAAAACTTTAATGGATGA